TGGCCCCCCAAAAGAGTGGCACTATTAGGAAGTGTGGCCTTGTTGGAGTAGGTGTGGTGTTATTGGAGGAAATGTGTCATTGTAGAGGTGGACTTTGAGGTCTCATATATGCTCAAGCCATACCCAGTGAGAAAGTTCACTTCCTGTTGCCTGCTCAAGATGTAGAACTCTCAGCTACCTCTCCAGCACCATGTCTGCCTGTATGCCACCATGTCCCACCATGATGATAATGGACTGGACCTCTGAAATGTAAACCATTCAATTAAATGTTTCCCTTATAAGAGTTGCTGTGCCCCTCACCGCTTGCCACCTGTGGCAGACTGGAGAACTGACAACCTGTCACCAACTGCAGTACTAGGGAGAACAGGCCCTGAACCTTGCCTGGACAGCACAGTGGAGCTGACCCTGTTGACAGAGACACAGGTGAGTCTTCCGGGAATATGAGCATGGAAGATCCAGCCCCACCCCTCATTTGCTATAAGGTGGTGTGAACAAGGAGATGTCCACCACCACCCCCTGCCCCTGACCACCTGTGGCTGGTAGGAGAGCTGGCCCTGAGATCATGAGAACCGGTGAGCTGGCCCAGCACCTAAAGAGCTGCAACACTCAGGAAAGCAGGCCCAGTACCTCACCTGAACAACATAATAATGCTGACCCTGCTGGCGGTTGCACAGGTGAGTGGCCCTGAAGGTATGAAGGTAGGAGAGCTGGCGCCACCACTCATGCAGTGGTGTGGGCAAGAGAGAGATGTCCCCCATCCTGCCCTTCACCCCTCACCACCTGTGGCAGGCAGAAGAGCAGGCACCTGAATCATGAGAGTTGAAGAGTTGGCCCTGCCCTTCACCAGCTGCAGCACTTGGAAGAGTAGGCCCTACATCTCACCTGGGCGGCACAGTAGTGCTGACCCTGCTGGGGTTGCAGTACAGGTGAGAATGCCCTGAGATCATGAGAGTGGGAGAACTGGCCCAGAACACCTCGTCTGTCATGTGGTAGCTCAGGTGAGGGAAAGATGCCCTCCCACTCCCGACTAGCCACCTGCAGCAGACGAAAGAGCTGCCCCTGCCCCTTACCAGCTGCAGCACTCTAGAGAGCCAGCCCTGTGCCTCACCTGGGCAGCACAGTAGAGTTGACTCTGTCAATGGGGATGCAGGTGAACTGGCCCAAAGAAGTAAGATGAGAGATGAGCATGAGAGATCTGGCCCCACCCTTCATCTGCTGTATGGTGGCTTGAGCTAGGGAAAGATGCTCTCCACACCCCATCCTCCACCCCTCACGCCTATGGCAGGTGGGAGAGAGCTGGCCCTGAGGTCAGGAAAGCAAGAAAGTTGGCTCTGACTCTGACCAGCTGCAGCACTCAGGAGAGCAGCCCCTGCACTTCACCTGGGCAACAGAGTAGAGTTGGTCCTCCCTCGTGGTATAGGTGTAGGTGAACCGGCCCCAAGGGAGGGAATAAGACAAAAGAACTGGCCCCATCTCTTGCTGCTTACTGCATAGTGTGAGCTAGCCTGGGTGGTGCTGGAGAGCTGGCGGGCAACCATCCAGGCCCAGAACCAGGGCTATGAGTGGGCCCATCCCAACATCCACCCCTTCTAAGAACTAGTGGAGCATGTGAAGAGGCCAGTCCTGCAGTCTCAAAGTTGCAAGATCTCCATGACACAGGACAACAGCAGGATATCCAAGAAGAGTCCCAGCGAGTGCCCAGTGTTGATAATGTAACAGAAACCAGAGGCCTCGAACTGGACCAATTACTCTTTGCAATGAGCACTTGTAAATAAAGATGTATGGACCAAAGGGTATATTGTGTGACTCACTACGTCGCACTACAGCTTCCTTGACAAGATTTTTCTTTTCCTTTCTTTTAAATTTTATTTTGTTTTATCTTGGGGGGGAGGGGGGAGGTTGCAAGGGCAGAGGGTGGATGAGAAGGGATGGGAAGATGAGTGGAATCAAGATGCATGATGTGAAATCCACAAAGAATCAATAAAACATTTTTTAAAAGACCAGAAATTTGGGCAGTGGTGGCGAATGCCTTTAATCCCAGCACTCGGGAGGCAGAGCCAGGCAGATCTCTGTGAGTTCGAGGCCAGCCTGGACTACAGAGTGAGTTCCAGGACAGGTAGCAAAACTACCCAGAGAAAACCTGTCTTGAAAAACAAACAAACAAAAAACCAAAAGGAAAGAAAAAAGACCAGAACCAAATCACAACTAATCAAACAAAACTGCCAACACAGTCATGTATCTTTGAATAAAGTAAGTTTGTTCCATTCTTTCTAAAAAAAATTTAAAAAAAAAAAAAGGTGCCATGGTCATGGTGTCTCTTCACAGAAATAGAAATCCTAAGACAATCTCTGTTCTTGCACGTCAATCAGCAGAGGCCAAGAGAGATCAACCAGTACCTTCCACTTGTCTTTATCTGCACTTAGCTTTTCCTCTACTGTCGGAGCCCAGTCCAAGAGTGGAGTTGTGAGAAAATTCTAAGAAACCAAGACAAGAGTCTTGTGACCTCTGTTTATTCAAAGACAGGAATTGTTCTTGGAATGTGCTTTTGTGCCTCTCCCAGGTGTAGCAGATAGGAGTGAGTTTACTTTGGATTATTCATTACAACTGGCTATTGTTACTTGTTTATATGCCTCTATGGAAAAACATGGTTTTGCCACACATAGCTTGCCCAACAGTTGGGGCTTATCCTTGTGAATGCATACTTTATTCATGTGACCCCTCTTAATCCTCAGAATATAAATTGTCTGATGCTCTGAAAAAAAAGTTGACTATTGCATGTGATTTTAGTCTGCCTCTTTCATTGACTGCATTCTGCCAGATCCCACCACCTCTAGAGCAACAAACACTCTACTACTGTCCTCTTCTCTGAAGATAGTGCACTTAAGTTATTTGTGAACGTGTGTGTGTGTGGGGGTGTGTGTGTGTTCATGTATGTGTGTGCATGTACATGTGTGCAAGTATGGGTGTGGAGGCCAGAGGACAACTCACATACAGTCTTCAGGAATGCCATCTACCTGTTTTGAAACTGAATCTTTCATCAGCCTAGAGCACATGATTAGGCTAGGCTGGCTATCCAGGGAGCCCTAGGGATCCTGTATCTCTTTATTTTCAACACTGAGATTATAAATGCATGTTACCATGCTTGATACTTTTCTTTAGGGAATAAGGCAATATATTCTGGAGCCAAATACAAGTGACTATACCCTAGGAACATGGATTTAGGCAATCCCAAGTAGTATGTTCCAATATGGTAACAACCATGTTTTATAGTAAGAAAGTCATAAGCCAAGTACTTTTAAAAATTCATTGGTGGGAACATCAAGTACCTGGGTTACAGAAAATTGGGGAAATCTTGCTCCAGGCTTCAGATGCTATCTGGAGGCATTTTCAGCCTTTGGGTTGGTAGAAGCTAGTGGTTTGTTAGTACAAGTAAAAGAATTTTATCTGATAGTCACAAGGCTGTTAGGTCAAACACAGAGATGGACAATGAATGGCTGTTGAGGGGGATAAAGATAACGTAAGATAATTTTGCTCAGGACATGGAATATTCCAGCTCTCTCTAATCAGTCAGGCTTGTAGAATCTTTAACACAGGTGAGGACCTTTTATAAAGCCAGGACTTCAGTTCAAAGTCCCCTCTCTGGAAACTTGTTTTTTCTCTTGCTCTCTTGAAGGCTATGTCAATGAATTCTCTCTTTGTTTTCTGCTGGGGTGGTTCGAAGGAGAAATGTCCCATATAAGCTTGTGTATTTGAACACATGACCTCCAAATAGGGGCACTGTTTGGGAAAGTTATGGAAACTTTAGAAGGCAGAACCTTGCTGAAGAAGTATGTTACTGGGGACAAGCCTTGAAAATCATAACCCCATCCACCCCTGTTCGCCTCCCTGTACCCATCTCCTTCTTGTGAGCAGAAGAAATCTGATGTTTCTGCCTCCTGGGTGTTATGCTGGGTTCACACTCCCGCTGTTGGGCCTTCTCTGCCATGTTGGATTCTATCCCTTGGGAACTGTAAGGCCAAATTAACCCCTTTCCTCTAAGTTGCTTTTGGAAATGACATTTTATCATAGCAATAGAAAAGTAATTAACACACTTGGCAAACTCTTTGTATTGGCAAGTCACTAGTCATTGGTGCACTGTTTTGTACTTTACGTCTCATGGCCACTTTTTCCTGCAGTGCTTGTGGCAGTGACAGCTAGATGAGTGATTCAAAGGCAGCTGAGAACCTCATACCCTAGTGTGGCCTGAAGGTTGTCTGGACTGAGACTTGCTGACACTCATTAATGTATAAACTAAGGAATTGCTTTCCACATCTTGCAGAAGGTATTACTTTCCATTCATAGCTTTAAGTCTCTGGCCAAGGCATATGTTTGGTAGGACAACTAACTCAAGATAATTCAGCTCAGGACTTAGAATATTCCAGCTCATCATAATCAAAGAAGATCTAGTCAGTCAGGCAACCTTGCAGGAAGGAGAGAACAGCTTGCTGTAGACTATCAGGGTAATGCACTACTATGAGGATCCTCTCAGTCTCGATGTGTGGCCTACTGAATATTTTCTTAGGAAGCCATTTATAGTTTGTTACATATTATAAGAGGCCCTCCTCTTTTCTAGAGACACTTGATCAATCCCTGTCACCAAAGGCATCTGCTAAGGATAAATGGTGGCACTGATTCATCATTGTGTTCTTGTTCCTTCTAACTTGCAAACTAAAGCATGAATTTTTCAACGATGTACTAGGATCATCAGGTAAAGAATAAGGGAGCTTAACATATTGAACATGGGCCTTTAAATTAACACCATAACAAGTTGGAAATAAAATAGGAACAAAGAAATTGGATTAATCAAATTCAGATATTAAGGTATGTCAGAGGTTATGTATGCATATTCATGAAAACATGTGCTTCTGTTGTGTGATAGACTTTTTCCGAAAAGATGCAACACACACACATCTACTCGCAGCACACCCACAATAGACCTAAGTAATAATTGCACCAATGTCTGATTTGGTGAGCCAATGGATTGTTTTATTGAGGTTAGTAACAGAAGTATGGGTGAGGGGTTGCTTACAAGGAGCAGGGAAAACTCAAAAGCAGCTGCACCACCAGAAAGCCCACCCCAACATGGGTGAGGACTCCCCAAAACAGCAACTCTGGGGCTCTTTGTACAGTAATTTGCAGGCAGCTCCGCAGCCCAGACATTTTCATCCAGTTGTCTGGTCATTGTCTCCACTCCTAGAAACTGTTTACTTTAGTTTACATTGTAGATCGGGGCCTTCAAGAACTTCCAAGCTGCTGTTCTTCCCGGATATGTGACCTTTTGTTTGCCTCCTGTTCATCACCTGAGGCTCCTGAGCCTTCCCACTCCTTCCTGCAGCAAATGTTCCAATTTGGAGAGAATGTTGCAATTCTGAGGAACATGCCACACATCAGCATCTCAAAAAAAAGCAAATCAAAAAATAAATTTATAGCAAACTAAGGTTCTTCTGCACAGCAAAGGAAAAAAAATCCACAACATGCAAATACAATCTATAGAACAAAATATTTAGAAACAATTAGTCTGATAGAAAGCTCATTCAAAATGCATATGGAACTATGGAACTCAATTCAATATCAAGGAAACAGCACAATTAGTACATGGGTAAAGGATTTGAATAGACATTCTTTTCTTTTCGGGGTGGGCGAGAACGAGGTTGAGATAGGTTTCTCTATGTAACCCTGATTGTCCTGGAACTTACTATGTAGACCAGGCTGCCCTAGAACTCACAGAGATCTGCCTGCCTCTGCCCTCTCTGGATGCTGGGATTAAAGAGGTGTACTACCATACCTGGCAAGACATTGCTCAAAAGATGACAAGTGACTGTCCAGCAGGTATATGAACAAAACTCCCAGTGTTGATATGACAAATTAAAACCATAGTGATGTATCACTTCACACCTGTTTGGATGGCTATTATCAAAGATGAAAGGTAAGTGTTGATGATGAAATAGATAAAAGGAGACCTTTGTACTCTGTTGGAAGAAGTGTTAATCAGTAGAACAATTATGTGGAACTGTACAGATACTCCAAACAGAATTTTGTATATGACCCATCAAATCCCACTATGGGATATACATCTAAAGGTTTGAAGTCAGTATGGTAAACAAACAACTACACTCCCATGTTCACTAAAGCATTGGTCACAGTAGCTTAGATATTCAATCAAAGTGTCATTAACGGATGAGTGGATAAATACAATACATACATATACACATACACGCATACTATTCAGTCTTAAAAATAAAGAAGAAAATTCCTGTCATAAGCAACAGCATAACTAACTTTGGAAGAAAGAATTCTAAATGAACTGAGTCAAGCACAGAAAATCAAACAGCATATGACCTCAATTATAAGAGCCACAAAAGTTGAACTCATACTGGTGTACTATATTTTTGCTATCAAAGCATAACTTGAACGCTTTGAATGGTGAATATTCAGAATGTGTAGGAAAGTATAACACATACCATATTATTTCAATCACCTAAAACGCAGTGAGTACTATGTGTTCACACACAGGAACCAGAAGTACATGACAGACTGAATAAATTTTGGCTGTGGTTGACTGTATTCTTTGCACTTTGTGGGTTTCATTTCCTGTAATGCACATGTATATTAATTATTTTCTATTGCTGTGATAGAATACCCTGACAAAAAAAGCAAGTTTTGGAAGGGTTTAGCATGGTTTACACTTCTAGAGGGATGGAGTTCATCAAGGCAGGGAAGGCGTGGCAGCAGGCAGGGATGATATGGTGTCAGGAGCAGGAAGCAAACTGGTCATATTCCAGTCTCATATAGGAAGCAGAAAGAGAAAATAGTAAGTGGGGCAAGGATACAAAACCTCAAAGTGTCCCTCCCCCACCAGGTAAGTACTTCTTCCAGGAAAGCACCACCTCTTAAAGGTTCCATAACCTTGCCAAACACCACCACCAACTAGGGACCATGTGTGCAAATACATGAATCTATAAGGGTCATTTCATTCAAACTACAACACATGTTAATTTAAAAACATAGTCTTCTCTTTTTAAAGTTAAACTGAGGTTAGGGATATAACTCAGTGATAGAGTGCCCCCATAGCATGCATGAAGCACTAGGTTTGGTCCCCAACACGATTCAATGTCATCCTTTGCTACACAATGAGTTTGAAGCTAACCTTGGCTATATGAGAAAATGTTTTAAAAAAAAAAGCCTCAAAAAGGGGCTAGCAGGATGACTCAGCAAATAAAGGCTCTTGCCTCAAGACTGACAATCTGATGGTGATCCTTAGAACCCACATGATAAGAACTGACTCCTGGAAGTTATACTCTGACCTCCACACACATGCCATGATTCATGAACCCACATTTATATGTGCACAAATAAATATATGTAGAAAAATTAAGACTAAATAAGTCGTTGCAGCAACACAAGTAGAGAGTAAAGTGTTGAATGACTTAGTGCACTGCATCTTTACAAGTTCGTCTGACTTTTAAGGAAAGTGTAAACCAAAGATGCTTCCTTTGTTGTGGAGTCTCAGAATTCCTTTCTCTGGCTTCTCTTGGGCTCCAAGGCCCTGCTCTGTTCTAGTCCATCTAAGGTTAATTAATCAGTGAGCAGTTAGCAGAGTAAGCTGCTTAAGGAAGATTCTGGCATAAAATATTCATTTCACAACAGGAGACAAAACTTCATGGGGAAGAATCAGTAAGTGGGAAATGATAGGCCATAGGGTTGACAGTGAAGACTGAGTTCCTCCATATAACCCATGAACCTACTACCTCATACACTCCTTCCAGGCCACATTGACCTATTCCTAGAAATCAGTCACTGAAGGCTGGACTGATTTGATTTTAGTGCACCTCTAGGGAAATCTAGTTAGAAGAAATGCTTTCTTCTCTGAGTTATTATTGATGAAATTATTAAGGCCACTCCACGTAGTTAAAAGGGAGGTTTATTTAGTGGGGTAACTTACAAGTGAATGGATAGTTTACAGAATCTGGGAAAGGCATGGTGCAGTCTGGCGGTGTTCTCTGGAGAACTCTGCTCGGTCTGCCTCAAGCATCCAGGGTCCAGGAACCAAGAGACCTCATCCGGATTTCGGGTCTTCAGGGTCCTCTCTTGGCCCTGCCTTGTAGGCATGACAGTTGCCGAAGCCTCAATGGGGGTTGGAACTTCCAGATCAAAGTTGGAATGGCTACTCACTACAAGTTATACGCCAGAAAGTAATAGAAAATAAGCAATCAGATATTTTAAACTTTTTTCCATTTTTTTTCCAATTACCTTCCTCAATCTCTAATTAAAGCCACTTTTTTTTTCTCTAAAAGAAAATGACCTCTAAAATACTAGCCAGGATGAGCAGAGGCAAACATCTGGGAGCCAGACTGGAACTCACAGGTTATTTTTGTTAATTTTTTTTTTTGTTTTTGTTTTTTATGGATTCTGTTGCAGCAACCTCCAGACTGGTCTATATTGGGGGATTTATTAAGGCAACTACACATAGTTGAAAAGGAGGTTCCTGTCCTTTACCTTGCATTTAGGATGTTTCTTAATACCCTTCATCTCCACTCAGGAGATGCCAGGACTACCCTCCTCCCAAAATATGACAACCCCTCCAAAAAAATTTCTCCAGGCATTACTAAATTTTCCAGGCAAAACATGCCTCCCCATTAAGGTCTACTGATTTATAATAATGTATATTTCTTAGTACTCCGGGGTTACAGTGACTATAATTAATTATAATATAAAGCTTTTTTTCTAAAAGTCTTGAGCTGGATACTTTTATTCATAAGTCATAACTGGTTTCATATCATTTTAAGCATTTTTAACATTTTTCTAGTCATGTCAATACCTAGTTCTTATAACATTAAAGTGTTGTCATAGAAATGTCATATCACTGTCCAGCATTTTTCCATGTCGTCTGTTTTCCATCCAGTGTACCAGCCTATGTCACGATCATAATTGCAGCATCCATATTTCCTCCCTTGTTCTTGGAAAGTAACCCCATCTTCTATCTATTTTCCATTCTGTTTCATTCTCAACTTTTTGTTTTGTTCTCTAGCCAATCTCTTTTTTCCCAGGGTTTCATCAAGAATCCCTGCTGTCTTTGGTTTAGGCAGCCTATTATATGGAACAGTATCAAAGGCTTTCTGAAAATTGAGATTATCCATGTTGCATGCATTACCATTCTCCAACATGTCTGTTTGCTGCTCCAAAGTATACAAAAGAACCAGAGAAGTTAGATAGCATCTTTCTGCAGAACCCCCTTGCCCTTATACTTCCTTAAGCCAAAAGACCAATCTGAATGGGAGAGATACTTGTTGAGCGTGTTTTTAATGCATTCCAAATATTTACATGTTTGGCATTCTGTCCATCCCCATCTGGCAGGCTAATAAAATTGTTCTTCTGGAAACCATGGAGATTTGTAGCCATAGCTTGTGTCTTCTCCAGATACTGTTGGCTTTAGCTAGTTCAGAGTTAACTACCACTTATTGAACCCTTACCAATAGCCTGTACATGGTATCTATTTGATCTTTATGAGCACTGCATGAGGTAGGAGAGATTTGTTTCTTTGATTTACAGATAAGAGAAATGGCTCTCAAAGGCTGGGGCCATAAAATAAGTGGCACACTCAAATTTAAATTTGGATGTTCGGACTTCTACTTTGGTCTCACTCCTCCACAACATCGGGAGAACAAAGAGTCCGGAGCCCAAGGCATGAGTTTCTCATTAACTAAGGCCATCTCATTGCTCAAAATGTGGGCCTTTGTAGCAATGTCAGTAACACCTGTTTTAGTTACTTTTTCTGTCACTGTGATAAAACACCATGACCGAGGCAACTTATTTGGGTTCATCCAGAGGGATAAATCTGTCATGACAGAGTGGTATGGCAGCAGGCATGGCGGCTAGAGCAGAAAATTGAGAGCTTGCTCACATCTCAAAGCAAAGAGAGCAAACTACGAGGGCAAAACCTTAAACTCTCAACGCGGGCCCCCACTGACATGCTTCCTTCAGCAAGGCCACTTCTCCTAAACCTGCCAAACAGGACCTGGATAATATGTATTCAAATGCCTGAGGCTATGGAGACCTTCTCTTTCAAACCACCACAACACCCACGTTCTTGTTAGAAATATAGCATCCTGAGTCGTTCCCAAGATATGATAAATCAGAACTGCATTTCAATAAGACCACTGATCATTTCCACATCCAGGAAATTGAGAAGCACTGCAGTTAGGTTGTATGCATATGGAAGAAAGGCTTGTCCAACTGGTCATTATGTTACAGCCTCATCCTTTTGCCCCTGTTGACCCTTCTCCACTGTGGCACAGCCTGATCAGGTATCTCTTTGATATTCTTCCTCATATTATAGGCCAAAAAGCACTGAATATAAGTTTCAACTCATTTGCCAACATGGATAAATCCACAGTTTGATTCTCTAGAGCTTTGTGTTGAGGATTATGACACTCTGTTTGATGTAGGCTTTTAAGAGTTTGCCATGACTTAGGAGGGAAAGGAAAGTATGCTTGCCTCGGGATACCATTCTTATTCTAGACATCCCTTTCTTGTCTCAGCATCTACACTATCTTGATACCAACATAAGCAAACAACTGCATAGAAAATTTGATGAGACAATTCTGGTGAATGGTTGGCTTGTGCTAAAGAAATTTTTATAGTTCTGAAGTAACTGTATGTTGTGATAAGGCTCTTTAATCCTTTGTGAGGGGCTGGGGAGACGGCTCAGCAGGTAAATATGCTTGCCATGTCTCTTAGTCAGGTTTCTGTTGCTGTGAAGCTACCATGATTATGGCAACTCTTATAAAGGACAAATTTAATTGGGGCTGGCATACAGTTTCAGAGGTTTAGTCCACTATCATCATGGTGAGAAGCAAGTGTGCAGGCAGACATGGTGCTAGAGAAGGAGCCAAGAGTTCTATATCTTTTTTTTTTTTTTTTTTTTTTTTGGTTTTTCGAGACAGGGTTTCTCTGTGTAGCTTTGCGCCTTTCCTGGAACTCGCTTTGGAGACCAGGCTGGCCTCAAACTCACAGAGATCCGCCTGGCTCTGCCTCCCGAGTGCTGGGATTAAAGGCGTGCGCCACCACCGCCCGGCTGAGTTCTATATCTTGACACACTTCCTCCAACAAGGTCACACCTACTCCACCAAGGCCACACCTCCTAATAGTGCCACTCCCTATGGGCCAAGCATTTAAACACATGAGTCTATGGGGGCCATACCTATTCAAACCACCATGTGTCTTAATTAGGGTTTCTTGTGCTGCAATTAAACACCATTTCCAAAAATCAAGTTGAGAAGGAAAGGGTTCATTTGGCTTATACTTCCACATTACTGTTCATCACTGAAGGAAGTCAGGACAGGAACTCAAGCAGGGCAGGATCCTGGAGGCAGGAGCTCATACAAAAGCCATGGAGGGGCGCTGCCTACTGGCTTGCTTCCCCTGAATTGCTCAGCCTGCTTTCTTATAGAACCCAGAACCACCAGCCCAGGGATGGCTCATCCACCATGGGCTGGGACCTCTCCCCATCAATCACTAATTGAAAAGATGCCTTACAGTGGATCTCATGGAGGTGCATCCCCTTCTTCTCTGATGACTCTAGCTTGTGTCAAGTTGATACACAAAACCAGCCAGTATACCATGTAAGCCTTCCAACCCAACTTCCAACCCTAAAACCCATGTAAATAGCTGGGTGTAGTATCCCACATCTGTAATCCCAGCACTTTTATGGCAAAATCAAAGATATGAGTATCAGCCTAAAGATCATGGGCCAGCTAGCCTGGATTGTGCAACAAAGCAGCAGAAGCAATAACTAAGAAGATTCCACCTCCATGATGTGGAAGACAAGAAGCAATACTCAAAACTTGCCCTCTGGCCTCAACACCTGTACTGTAGTAAGTACGTGCGTGCATGTGTGCAAGCTCGTATGTACGTACGTGCATGCACGCACACGCGCGCGCGCACACACACACACACACACATATACACACGAATAAATAAATTAAAATTTGTAAGATGATTAGGGCAGAAATTATTCTTTGAAAATCAAACTGAATCAGAGTTTCGATTCTTCAGGCTTATTTTCATCACAAGAAACTTAGGATCACAATAAGCTAGTGGCCACATAAGAATTAACAGCAAAGGGTTCCTTGTGTGAGATTTGATAGACAAGTTCCTGTCCACCAACACCACCAAAGAGAAGTGAGATCCACTTAGAGGGACTAAAGTGGACAGCTGGATACATATGGGTGACAAATGCTCTATTTCCAGAGTGGCCCAAGCACAAATCATGCAGCAATTCAGACACAGGTGTGAAAGGTAATGACAAGCCACACAGCACTGAATGACTATAATTATAGCTCATACTTCCAGATAGTGCTGCCAGCATTTACTTTATCATTTTGATTGAGACTCTGGGTTATTTTGTTAACCTTAATTATACTTTAAATAGTACCTTTTAGATTTTTTTTCCATAAATGTTTAAATTAGCAGTAGGATCAGGATGACCAAATGAATCTCTCTTTTTTTTCTAGGACAGGATGTCATGTAGCACAGGATGGTCTTGAAGTATCTATGTAGGCAAGAATTGCCTTGGACTTCTGATCCCCCTGTCTCCACCTTCCAAGTGCTGGGAAACTATCATGCCTGATTTATGTGGTGCGAAGGATCAACATCAGGGTAGGCAAGCACTCTAGCAACTAAGCTCCATCTTCAATCTTTGAAAGTGATTCTTTTAAGATAGGTTTTTGTGAAAAAAAAAGGATTCCTTAGGGATCTTGATTCTATACTAGTCTATTAATATGCAATAAATACACAGGGGCCATAGTGAGCATTAAAGGTCATGTAATATTTATACATCTGTGAAATTTTGAATATGTGAATTCTTCCATTGGAAATTTAAAGCCCCAATGGCACAGTGTTAAGAGGTGTGACTATTCATTTTTCCACTTTCATGTGTACATGTGTGTGCATGTTTGCATGTGTGTGGCCACACATATGTGTATGCATGTGGAGGCCCAAGGTTATGTTGGGAATCGTCCTTGATTTATCTTCTGCCTTATTCATTGAGACAAGGTCTCTCATTTAAACCCAGTGCTTGTCAATCTGACTCATATCACTAGCCAGCACACTCTGTGGAGTCACTATTTCATCCCTGACTTCCAAGGCTGATTACAGGTCAACATTGTATACC